ATGTGTCACATGCCAACAGCATGATACTGAACTCTTTCACACATTTTACTATCATAAGTAAAATGCGTGTAGTCAGAGTATGGAATAGTCTTCCTGCTATTGTAGTGGAAGCTAAAACCATGGGTTCCTTTAAATCAGAGCTAGATAAGATTTTAACAACTCTGAGATATTAGCTAAGTTCTCCCCAAACGAGCTTGATGGGCCGAATGGCCTCCTCTCGTTTGTAAATTTCTTATGTTCTTATGTTCTTAAGCCTTCTTGGACAGGTGTGGGTTGTTTGTGGTAGGCCTGATGTCGGCAGCCAGCACCCCCAATCTCTCTCCTCTGCAGTGGTGCCTCACACAGAACACGTGCCTGACCCTAACCGTAACCCTAACCCTAACCCCCTTCCAGTCTTCCAGGTTGAAGCAGGTTTCTGGGTTATGTAGAGGAGGACCTGGAGAGCTCCACACTCGAGGTGCAAGACCCAGGTGGACGGCCACCATCTGCTCATTCCAGGCATTGTTTCTGGTGGCGAGCCCAAGCCAGATCTTGAAGATCTCCCATGGCTGCTCCCTTTCCGTGGGGAGTCGGGCGGGGGCTACTGGAGGGTTAGCAGGCAGGGACACTCTTCCGGCAGGCACTTCCTGTGTCCTGCCTTTGGGACTTTCCAACTAGCTCCAGCCTCTCCTTCTCCTGGTCTTTCTGGGTCCTGTCTGGCTCTCTCCATGGGACTGCTTGCGGTGTCCCACTTTTAACATCCAGCAAATTCAACCTCTGAATAATTTTATTGCTTTTATCAAAAAAACTCTTGAGCATCTAATAACACAAAAGTAAAACTAAGCATTGAACCAAGCCCACCAAAACGCGATAACAAGAGGAAGGTCATATGTAAAACAATGGGTCGCACACGGCGGTTAATTACAGAACGGAGGGGTACACACCAGGAGCAGCCAAGGATCATGTACATACAAACAGATAAGGGCAAACGTGACAATTGGGAACACAACAAGAGTATTTACAATAAATAACACACACAATGCCACAAAGCATGTCGGGAAAAGTAAATGAGCTCCGGTACGCAGAAGCTATCGCGGCGACAGCAAGATATTTTTAACAGTTTTTTTTTTACATTGCATGATATGTACATCCATCCATCCATCCATCCATTGTCCAACCTGCTCATCCGACTGGGTCGCGGGGGGTCCGGAGCCTATCCCGCAAGCAATTGATGTGTACATGTACATGATATAATATTTTCATTATAAAACGTGTAACAGTAGCCTGTGTTTTTCATTGTTCCTTCATCCTTTGAGTGGTATTGCTTCGTTATCCCTTGATACATGATCACGTACGTTATAGGCTACATGAGATCCGCACATGGTTCGCTCTTATTCACCATTTCGGCTTTCCGCGGTAGGTGTTGGAAAGTAATAATAATAATAATAATAATAATAATAATAATAATAATAATAATAATAATAACATTAATGACATAATAATAACAGCAATAATAATTGTAGTGATAATAATAATAATTATTATTATTATATAAAGCTCAGGGAGTTTTCGTGGAATCCTGTTGTCGCCATATGTGGTCTGTTCGCGCACTTTCACTACGTGCACGAGATCTGTTTCCTTTACAAAGAAGCTTTCTTTAGTAGTAAAGAACTTGGACCATGCGCTTCACGCCGTGCGCTTCATAAGACGGCCCGTGGTCTGCTAACTGTTAGCTCATTTAAATAAGTGGTTAAGACGTTGTTTGCTGCAGCTTTTCAACAAATTAAATTAGCTGCGGTTTATTTATACACTACCACTACAATGTCACTTTTTTAGTTATTACTTGTTTTTATTGTCTTTTGATTTTACTGTCTGTGACTTTAATGTCTAGTCTTTTAATGTATCTCTGTGTCTCGGTAAAGCATTTTGAATTCTGAATTGTGCTATATAAATAAACTTGTATTGCCTTCCTCTGACAGCAGCTGAGACAGCGAGGAAGCCAGAGACAAGCCTCACTTCTCCTTTCCCTTTTTAAATGTTGTTAAAGGGAAAGTAAAATATAAGTGGGGAAGTGCAGAAATGGAGCAGGAAAATTCAACTGAATTTCAGATGACACAGAGAGTTACGCCACACCGCAGAAAGAAGTGAGACTCCTGATAACACCTGCCATGAAAATGAAAATCACTTACTGGCCGTTAGAACTTTTATTTCCTTATTAAATGTATTTTTTCTTTAAATCTCAGAAGTAAGTACATTTTCTGGTGTCTGAAGACATCTTTAAATGGTGGAAACAAGAGCAGAGTGGGTAGGCTGGAAGGGTTCTGTTGTTAGTTAACAAAGACATTTTCAAATACGTCAGCAAAAAGATAAAGAAACAGGGGAGGGATTTGTGGAGGAGGGGGCCAGACTGCACTCAAAGCCACATTCAACATGGAGGATAAGGACTGTGAAATGTGTCAGTCAGGCCTTAGCTGAGGGTAAGAAACACATTCATAACAAGCAAGGGAAACAACAATTAGGTGGGCCATGAAAAATGCAACCCCCTGACAGAGAAATGTAGAGTAACCAAGTGATGATCCTGTTCTGTGCAATTTCCTATATCAGTGCTTCCCAATCCCAGTACTCAGAGACCTGCAGGCCATGTTTTTACTGGAAGTTGGGAGGGAGCAAAAATGTGGACTGTCTGGCAGGAAGCTAGGAGGGAGCAAAAATGTGGACTGTCTGGCAGGGAGCTGGGAGAGAGCAAAGGTATGGACTGTCTGGGGGTCGTCAAGGAATGGGTTGGGAAACACTGTTCTGTATGGTAAGCATAGCATTATAACTTTACAGTCTTAACAATTCATTCTATTAGAATGGGATGTTATTAAAGTTCCTGTGGGTGTAATGGCCAAGTGTCCCAATACTTTTGTCCATATAGTGTACATCTTTCCCAGAAAGCCCATCATGCAGTGCTTACGGCTTGTTACCATGTAGTCACAGTGTTATTTTTCAAAAACACTTGGCACTACATTATATATATAAAGATTCCAAAGACATTCTGATCTTACTCAACCGTGTAGGTTACTGAAAAGGGAACCAAAACACAAGGTCAGAAAACAAGACAAATGTGGCTGATTGTTATCAATACTGAAAATTAATAGACATCAGCGTGAAACTGAAAATCGAGGACTTAAGACTTCAGATTAAGTACAGTTGACAGCAGTCTTGATCAAAACTCCGAGCTTTAGCATCTTCTGTTTAATTAGTGAAGAAGAACTGAGGTCATTAATTATGAACCCCCCCCCCCCCCACACACACACACACACACACACACTGGCAAAACCATCCCTACCCGACCTAAAAACAGTGTAAGGATTTGCTAGCTTCTTCTAAGACCATCCTTACAGTAATCAACACATCTCTTCTAGGATCCATTAATGTGGCTGCTAATTAATAGCTATAGCCCAGAGTCAAACCTGCTCTTCCTTTCAGAAATCCCACTCAACACACTTGCAGACACTCATCACTAGCACCTTAAAGATGTCTGTTTTATCCATTACAGGTCCAAACTCAGGTATTTTCATCCCTCTCCTCCACTGTCTTCTTGCTCATTTCAGCTTCCAAAATATATTGTGTATTTTACAGATGTAAGAAAGTTCTGGGGCAACCACTGAAAGGGGCAATTTATAAAAATAAAATGAACTGAAAACTAATGGTTAACCTGGGTAAGACTAGGAGGTCTTCAGTATGTATTTATAAATGCCCAAAACTGTGGTATTACTTTTGACCTATACTATCTTGTTCCAGAACATCTGCCATTTGGAGTCTCTAAATATTTAAAGTCATCGATATCAATAAATAAATAAATCACATAGCTCGCCCATATAACTATTCTTTGTAGCATTTAAAATGATCTAAGTCACGAAAATGTCAACACCTGAAGTCAGCCATTGTAGAATTAGAAGGTGTGTTTATTAGATAAACATATATCTGTTCATCGATCAGTAAGTAGAAACTCAGCAGAGGGGAAAAAAGTGATATAAAGGCCTCTTTCACAGTTCTCACAATGTAATCAACACAATAACAGGAGCAAAGAATTTCATCTCAGTATCCCCATATGAAAAACTATGAAACCTCACTGAAAATGTTAATAATTTCCAATGAAATGTAGCATCTAACGCAAATCAATTGTTTCAATACTGCGATGCATAATCTGATAAATTTTAGGTGTTAGTCAGCATATGCTGAGATGGGTGAAGGATTACAGGAAATCTCCGTGCATGAGATGACAATGTGAGCAGCTCACAGGAAATTTACCTGCACAGCAACACGCGGCAGATAATCTACCAGCACACAAAGAAGCCAAACACCTCACACTCCATCCCAGCTGTTGCGAAAGGGGAAATTATGCTCCATGGATGAGGTAAGGCGTATCTGTCTTTTAATTGTACATTTTTTGGGGTAGGCTATGGTCTCTGGAGCCCCTACATCCTGCCACGCGCTTTTGTAACAGGAACTGGTAAAAAAGTGTCTAGGAAGCAGACACGAGTGGTTGCTTGCAAGGGGGGCTTGTGATTGAGGGGTGGTGTTGAGCTGCTTCCATAACACAATTGAGGCATTATTATATGATGTATAGTGGGCGATGTGGCTAAATACACATCCGCACCCGAGGGACTTTTGTTGTACGCAAGCTGATAGTATTCTACAGCTATAAGGTTTTACCTTTGAACATTATGTTTTTTTTTTAACCTCCAGTCCTGCAATTGTCTCACTTTCAAGCAATTAAAACAGTTTTAAGGTTATCTATAATTATAAAATAGGTTAACCATAATCAGTGTTAATCATAATCAGCTCACGTTAGTCATGGTGGAATGCCATGCAAATGTATTTGGGGCACTTTATGAAAATAAAATTGACTGAAAACTAATGCCTAGAGACTAGACTAGACTAGTAGGTCGTCTGTATGTATTTCTAAATGCACAGAGTTGTGGTATTATGTTTAACCTGCACTCTTGTTCCGGAACAAATGCCATTTTAAGGATATCTATAATTATAAAATAGGTTAACTATAATCAGAGCATTTTAAGCTCAAGCTAGTCATGACACAATACAATGCAAATGTATTTTTCTTCATCCTGTCTCAAATGTGTGATATTAATTTGGGGAGAACCATAATAGGCATATAGCCAGGTAGTAAAATAACTTGCGGCTCATTGAAACCTATGGAGAGGGACCCCCACATTCACAAAAGGCAAAATCTTCGGGGGGGGGGGGGGGGGTGGGAAGCCCCCTCCCTCACCCTGATCAGCAAATGGGGACCCTCGAGGTCAGCAAAATCTACACAGAAGGACCTATCCCTGTGGTTGTCAGACCCCTCATGAAATCTATTTCTGTTTACGGGCTTTATCCATAAAGCTATTTCAACACACTAGAATTAGCTAAATAATATGAACATATTCCGGTGTATGTTACAAAGTGACTAGTTCAGGCAAGTGGGGTTCCTTAAGTCTTCTTGTGGAACCAGGGGCGTACCTGGAAACTGGGGGCCCTGATAAATGTCACCTTACTCCATTTCACATATAATTTTATTTTTACTGGCCCCCCTGAATCTACCAGGCTATCCATGCCCCTCCCACACCCCTGGTTCGACCACAAGCCGCAAAATGCCACCACTACATGTGGCGTCGCTGTTTTCAGCTGAGGGGCCAGCTGAAAATGCCTAATATAACCATTAAACAATATTGTGTGTGAGCTAAAGTGCTGTAGCATTCAGTATCACACACATCAAGGTTCATATGCAGTGAAGGTTAACAAATTCATACAATATGGCTTTCTTTTAAACCTCAAAATGTTTTTTATTTTAGATATTTAGCCTAGTTAGTCTCTTGAGTGCGTACAGATATACTGAAGAAAATGTGACTAAGTTTGTTATCCGAAGATGGTGCATTTTTGCTAGTTATGCAAATTAGGTTGATTCCCTTATTTTACTAGCTTGTTTCAATGTTTTTTTTCCTTTTGCAGGTGCAAAATTTCAGTGACTCTATGTAAGTCCTCAGCCGTATCATTACCAATCACACACCACCTAGGTGATGCAACATGGCTGACGGGGGCTGGGATGGGAGGTGTTATATGTGGAGCCATTTTAGTTTGGCATGCTTAATTAATTTGTTAAACAAATATGTTTTGGGCACTCTGGTGGATTCTGGTGGAATCAATTGTTTTTGTAACATCTGCATTATAACTGCATTCAGTCTGCATAACATCATATTTTTTTTGATATTGTATGTAGCAGAATATATAAAAGCATCTATTGTTGTTTTTTTATTGATACACACAGGGAATTCACACTGTTTTCTGTCCAATACCAGAATGGCCGAGACTTTCACGGGCACAACTGAATCTTCCTACCACGATAGCAACGACTCCAGTATAGTCACCACCATAGACTACTACTTCTACTCTGTTGATGTGTCCGATTGCAACACGAATGGCAGCGCCAACGAGATGCCCAACTTCCAGCCCATACTTTTCTCTGTCGTCTTTGCCCTCGGCTTTGCAGGCAACAGCACAGTCGTGTGGATTCTCATGAAGCTGATGAAGCTGAAGAGCGTGTCGGACATCTGCCTGCTCAACCTGGCTGTCTCGGACCTGGCGGTCACGCTCTCGCTGCCCATATGGGCCTATTACACGGTGGCCTACGAACTCACCAGCAACGTGCTGTGCAAGGCAATGGTCTTCATATATCAGATTGGGTTCTACAGTGGGATCCTGTTTGTGACACTAATGGGCATCGACCGCTACCTGGCTATAGTTCATGCCGTGGCTACAATGAGAGTAAGGACAGTGAGGAACGGCACAGTGGTTAGTGCTGTTATTTGGATGGTTTCCATCCTTGGTGCGCTTCCGGAGACGATCTTCTATAGCATATCAGAAGAAGAGAATAAGTGTATTCCGGTCTATCCTAATAATTCGGAAAAGACCTGGAAACTCTTCCAAAACATCCGGGAAAACGCAGTAGGTCTCTTCATCTCACTGCCCATAATGATGTTCTGCTACATCAGCATCCTGGCTGTGTTAATGAGGTCCCGGAATTCCAAAAAGCACAGGGCGATGAGGTTGATCTTCACCATTGCCTTGCTATTTGTAGTATTCTGGGTTCCCTACAACATAGTCATCTTCCTCAAATCCTTACAGGAATACGGCTTTCTGAACAACTGCAAGAGCTCCCAAGGAATCAATCTGGCACTTGGTGCCACGGAGACAATCGCACTCATTCACTGCTGTGTCAACCCAATTATATATGCTTTTGTGGGAGAAAAGTTTAGGAAAAACCTCATTAATGAGCTGTCGAGATTCCCACTCTGCGGATACCTCTGCAAACTGCAGCCGGTTCATATCAAAAACTCAGAAAATGACACATCAAATACTTCGGCGTGATTTTCAAACATTCTCATTCCATCAAAGGGTATTATACTGAAGCTTGTTTAATGACACATGACAACATATTCAGTATATCCTTATATAGCTTGTTCTGAGTTTTCCTTTCAGATTTAATATATACAGTATAATTACATGAAATGCTTCTTTATGGTTTCCCAGAAGGTATCGCCACCTTCGCACTCAGTTCATTCAGCTTAAATCATTTAAATCTACTCTCTCATCTGTCACTACAGGTGTGCCCCAGGGCTCTGTCCTGGGGCCCCTTCTTTTTATCATCTACCTACTTCCCCTCGGTAATATTTTACGTAAATTTAATGTTAATTTCCACTGCTATGCGGATGACACCCAACTCTACCTCACTACAAAGCCCTCAGCCACTTTACCACCCACTACTCTCATTGATTGTATTGCTGAAATAAAATCCTGGTTTACTCTTAACTTTCTTAAACTTAACAGTGATAAAACTGAAGTTAACCTCATTGGTAGTAAATCCACATTATCCAAAACTAACAGTTTCTCTATCATAGTTGATAACTCCTCCATTTCACCATCCCCGCAGGTTAGGAGTCTGGGTGTCATCCTTGATAGCACACTATCATTTCAATCACACATTAATAATATTACCCGGTCAGCCTACTTTCATTTAAGAAATATTAATCGTCTCCGTCCATCTCTTACCCCCTATTCTGCAGCCATTCTTGTTCACAGTCTAGTGACTTCCCGTCTAGACTACTGCAATTCACTTCTCTTGGGTCTCCCTCACAAGTCCCTTCGTAAACTTCAACAAGTCCAGAATTCAGCTGCCCGAATTATTACCCGAACCCCATCTGTCCACCACATCACTCCTGTTCTTCAGCAGTTACACTGGCTCCCTATACAGTTCCGTATCCAGTTTAAAGTCCTCTTGCTGACATTCAAAGCCATCCACAACCTTTCTCCCCCCTATTTATCTGACCTCCTTCATGTTTCCATTCCATCTCGCTCTCTCAGATCCTCTTCCTCATTATATTTGTCTGTTCCACCTGCCCGTCTTACCACAATGGGGAGCAGAGCATTTAGCCGCTCTGCTCCCCGCCTCTGGAACTGCCTCCCATCTCATCTTAGAAATATGGACTCATTTCCTCATTTCAAATCTGGACTCAAAACCTATCTGTTCAAACAAGCCTATTCATTGTAAAATCCATTTATTTGTCATTTATATTCATTTTAATGTATTTCTTGCATTGTACCTTTTGTAGTGTGTATAAATTTTTATGTATGCCTGTACGGTGACCTTGAGTGTCAGAAAGGCGCCTTTTTAAATAAAATGTATTATTATTATTATTTTTATGTACCATACAAACCTACATACTATATACATTTGCATGCCAATAGTTTTTATTTTTGAATTTTGTTCAGAGCTAGTTATGCAGCTATATATTTCTTGTTTTCTGACTTGATGCCATATAGCTGATATTGATGAATTTTGAAATTATTTTTAAAAAACCCTGTTATGTTAGAATCCATCATTACTGCAGTGAAAAACTGTTTTACGTACAATGTAGTGCTGGGAGGAAACCGACCACAGTAATGCATGCTTAGGACAAACCACTTCCTGCCCAATACTGCAAATATCAAGCGTATCATTGTCATCACTGGTAACATTGTTAAACAGTAATTATATTGTAGAAATGTGTTTCTATAGACAGGAGAATGTTCATTCAATATAGACAATATTTAAGAAATATTTAGTATATAAAGCCAGAATGAAATCTGTGGGGTTTCAGTTTTATGATGGCAAGTAAAGCAAATTAGAAAATAACTAAAAATTGGTTCATATTTACAATCAACAGGAAAAAGTGCAGTAGACCTATGCTCTCCTATATACAATAGCTGCCTTCGTGAAAAAAAAGAAACGTGGAAAGATAATTCGTGCTATAGAAAAATAAACAAGGATTATGAGGAAAATGGGGTTATGGACAAAACGCTTAAAAATTTCTTAAGTAACACACAGTATCACATCTCGCTATATCATTCTGATCAAAACACTTTAATATTTCAAGATTCTCTTCAATACTTTAACCTTTCCTTTTTGCACTCAGTGTTTAGCTTTAGAGGCCGAGACTTTGACTGTTTTGTGGTGTAAATGAGCATGTTTAAATTACAATTATAAAAGTTGCTAAGCGTAAAGAAATGGCGAAAGAAACCCTTGTAAGATGACACATGCTGCGAAGTGACGCAGTAACTGGGTGTTTTCGATCAGGTGCGCACCTTCCATTCGCCTGCGGCTCGGTTTAGCTGGGCGATGCGTCCCTGCTTCTCAGCAGACGAAAGCACGCTTACAAACGCGAGCATCGCGGTCTACTAACTGTCCTCTAATATATCATTCGCTTTGGTGCAAACTGGTGTTTCCAAAACACGCATTATAGGAGAACATACTGTATCAATGCATCACAACTGAACAATAATTTAAAGCATTTCTGTCGCCTAGTGGGATAAGTCTTTAGATACCAGTATTATTTTTTTCCAGTTTATTTTGTTGGTTTTATTTTTATACTATTGTATATATAAAGGAAGTCAAATAAATTTTTATATATCGGAAACTAAACTCTTATCGCACTTCTAGTTACCTCAAACTTAGGTTGAAAATTGCAAAACGAAAGAAAAGCCACATTGTAGGCTTTGGGTCAGCACATAATACCACCATTAAAGAACTCAGAAAAAGTTCCCCCGTGTCATTGTAGCTGTAGAAAACCAATAACCATACTGCCACACATAGAGAAGTCATGTACAAAAATAAATAAATAAATAATCCTGATTTTTTGGGAAGTAATACAGCAGTCAGTAGCCTGTAGTATTTCTTCTGATTGAGGATCAGTGTTTATGATGCTACCATAGAGAGAATAATGGACAAAGATGGATGTATAGCCTACAAAATACTCAAAAATTACAAAAAGCACATTTCATGCCAAATAATGTCCTATGTAAACTACACAAACTATAAAACAACGTCCTTTGGACAGATCAGTCAATAATGGATTTTTTGGTCAACGTGGACCTATATCCCACAGAAAGACCTCATTCCAAACAAGTAAAGCAAGGTGATCATTTGTGAGGTTTTTCTCTCATAGTGCTGCGTGTGACAGGCGTGCGACATACGCAGACCACCCCCACAGTACATCCTTAGTTCATAGAGCACACTCCAACCTTCAAGGATAGTGCTGAATCAGCAGATCTACAGGAGGAAACCTCAGTGACTTTGAACAGGATGCAAGAAATTCAAGAACTGGGGCAGAAATTGGTGATGGTGTGTTGCAGCGTAAATGGAAAACCTCCCATCACTAAACGCTAATTGTAGGGGACCCCCCCCCCCCCCAATAAAAAGTGCATAGTTGCTATTTCTCAGTTAGTATTTTTAGTATTTTGTACTGTACCTGATATACATTTCACGTTCCCTCAGGTAGGTTTAAAGGTTAATGTCTTCTTTTGCACTCAGTTACATTTCACCATTTTGCTCTTGCTGCACATTATCTTTGCGGTTTATCCTAACTGCGTACACGTCGGCCATGCGTTCTTTCTACATGCATAGCGAGCTTGCAACGGGAAAAGCTGCAACGAACTGCAGTCTGCAATGCCGCGAGATTACGGAGGTGTCAGCGGGTAGATAAACAGAGCAAGAACACCTACGGTGAATTTCAGAGTAAAAAGGATGAAATTATTTTACATGTTTCATTGCGCACACAAATCATGCAGAAACATTCAGCACTGTTTGTTGAATCACACTAAACAACCTTCACCGTTCGTGATGTGATTATGAGAAATCAACAATTTTAAGAAGAAGCTCTCTTTTTCCTTAGTGTTGCACTTTATTTCCACTTTATATCATTTTTGTGTTGGGCTGAGTAGGGGTTTAAGGCTGTTGTAGTTAGTATTAGGGTTATGCCCATAGAAAGGAATGGAGAGTTCCCATAAAGATATGAATATGTGTACTGTGTGTGGGTTATGTATACACTACATGGATAAAAGTATTGGGACACCTGGCCATTACACCTAAAGGAACTTTTAAGACATCTCATTCTATATCAATATGGAGTTGGTCCCCCCTTTGCAGCTATAACAGCTGGATTGTGTCTGTGGGAATTTTTGCCCAATCATCCAGAGAAGCATTTGCGAGGTCAAGCAGTGATGTTGGACGTGAAGGCCTGGCTTGCAATCTCAGTACTAGTTTATCCCAAAGGTGTTTGATGGGGTTGAGGTCAGGGCTCTGTGTGGGCCGGTCAACTTCTTCCACACAAAACTCACCCAACAATGTCTTTATGGGCCTTGCTTTGTGCACTGGAGCACAGTCATGCTGGCACAGAAAAGGACCTTCCCCAAACTGTCCCCACAAAGTTGAAAGGATAGAGGTAAGGAGCATGCACTGATTACAGTGCGTTTGCCGCACCCACTGCATGACAAACCACCTCAGGGATGAGAATCTGAGTGAAGCCATGTGGCAGGTGACACCTCAGCACCACATGAGTCCGAATGGACCAGTGTGAGGTTTTTTTCTGGTGGCTGAAGTGCCAGTCCTGCCACCAACCCCCAAGTTATTCCCTGTAAGTTGGAGGACCTCCTTATAGGGCTGGATGTAGATTAACGTCATACCCAGGACGATAGAAACAGATAGACGAAAGGATAGAATAGTGCAAAATGTCTTGCTTCTTAACTCCTTAACCACAACCCCATACCATTATCCCTCCTCCACCAAACGTTACAGTTGGCACAATACAGTCAAGCAGGTAACGTTCTCCTGACATCTGCCAAACCCAGACTCATCCATCAGACTGCCAGACAGAGAAGCGTGATTCATCACGCTACAGTTTCCACTGATCCAGAGTCCAGTGGCAGTGTGCTTTACACCACTCCATCCAACGCTTGGCATTGTGCTTGGTGATGTGAGGCTTGCATGCAGCTGCTCGGCCATGGAAGCCCATTCCATGAAGCTCCCGGGGCAGGTTTTGTGCTGGAGTTAATGCCAGAGGAAGTTTGAAACTCTGCAGATACTGAATCAACAGAGCGTTTGCAACTTTGCACCTCAGCACCACCACCCCGCTCTGTTACTTACCATGGTCTAACGCTTCATGGTTGAGTTTCTATTGTTTCTAAACACTTCCACTTTGCAACAAGACCCCTTAGAGTGACTTATTGCAAAGGTGGTATCCTATGCCAGTACCACGCTTGAATCCAGTGAGCTCTTCAGAATGACCTGACTGCATGGCTAAGTACTTGATTATATCCACCTGTGGCAGTGGGTCTGAATGAAACAACTGATTTCAGTGAGTAAGAGGTGTGCCCAAATACATTTGTCCATATATTACATTGTGAGGACATTTCTTCCCCACAATGTGATAAAAACCTGTTATTTTGATGTTGTGGGGACCATTTTTTCAATCACCCACAAGGGGCAACTCAATTTTATGAAATCTGTAACAGCGATCAAAAAATAAAAAATGTCAAATGTCTTGTATCGTGACGTTACAACCAATGCAGGAGGGAGGGGCAGGCATGGGGGCAAACAAAAAGGGGCGGGGTTTATTAAGGAAGGGGAACAGGGTAAACAAAAGCTGACTGTGGGGGGTCGAACATAAGCCAAACCTGGCAAGTCGGGAAACCACTGAGCGCACACTAGGGCGACATCAATGACCGGACTGGGGAGCAGAGGACTGGGAGACACTGTTATTTACCCTGCCTGAAAAAGATCACAGAATTAACCATCGGCAAATCAATGGAGGCAGAACAGGAGAGGGCCAATGATTTAAATCAGTCCTTCTATAACATGGCACCTCACACATCTGTGCACGCACTGACCATCAGGAAATTCAGGAATTTTCCCAGGAGGCCAATCTTTCTTCCCCAATGCCGAGGTCTACTAGAATGGATTTCCCAAAAACAGTATTTTTCTCATACTGTACGCTCTGTTGTCTATTCATTCTCTCTATAGCTCTGTCTGAAATATTCTGTTAGAGGTTTAAGTGCCACCCAGTCTCACTGGAGACCGTGGTGGAACAGAGAACACGCAG